AAGCATTCATAGGGTATCTGTCTGCTACCCTTTCACTATTTTGTATTTATGTATATATATATATATATATATATATATATATATATATATATATATATATATATATATATATATATATATATATATATGTGTGTGTGTGTGTGTGTGTGTGTGTGTGTGTGTGTGTGTGTGTGTATTATACATCCTCGCATGTGCCGGTTTAATTCTGGTTCTTTATAGTTGTTTTGGAGAGTGGTGGATTTTCGGTGACGGAGTCGAATACGCGTCAAATTTAGATTATGGGGTTTCCTTTGTAAAATGAAGCGCAAATTGTCTTTCTTGAATATCAAATATTTGGTTGAAAATTTACCCTGAGAATTTGACACCAGGGCATTTTCCTTTGAAATAATAATTGTATAAAGGTTTTTATTATGTCGCTGGCAGAAGTGGAAAAAGGGTTTATAATAATTAAAGATGCATGTTGGGTCCAAGCAATTTCTCTTTCTCTCAGTTAATGGAGAGCCTATTTTTTTCTCTCATATGTTTTGACATTGAAAACTGTTCGCATCTCTGCCATCCCACAGAAATACCTTCAACATTTGAACGTTGTCATAAAGAAACACATTGTTTTTTCTATTCTACTACACCTCATTAAAGCACTGTCTGCCTTTGAAAGTTCGATTCTCGAGTGTGGAAGACATTTAATGGAGAACCTCAACCTGCTGAAATGCTGTATCCCACTCAGCCCCGGTAGACCCTGACAGAGGAGATGGAAGAATCCATTTTTCTAAATAATTTAAATTTGGCTAATTAGGGTGTACTTTTTTTTATTGAAAACTTTTATTCTCATGACTTATATACAGATGATGCCAAATAAGGATGCGCTCCGAGACCCCAACATAAGCTTGAAGGATAAACTATCGATTCACTTCGAGAAAAGAAAGGCCTCATTTGTAGACGACAGGTTCATGAACCGATGGGGACCCCCTGCTGTTTGGGCTATGGCCGTGACGGGGACCCCACTTGCTGTTTTCTGCGTCATGCCCGCGATGTATGAGAGCATCGGTCTTCTCCGATTTATGCAGGTAACTAAACAAAATATGTGTCTGCCCTTTTTCTTTTAAAGAATTGGTGATGTTTTTAAGTTCACGTCGACACCACGTATGGGCGTTCATACATTGTTTTGGAGATGTCTAGGGCTTTATTGGGTTCCATCGGAAGAGGACGTTAGATTCAGAAGGCCTTTCTACTAAATAATCTTGCAATGTTTTAAGGGGATCAAATCCATAGCATATCATTCATTGTATTCAGACCCTTAATTCCTACATGTTGGTCTTCTCACCTTGGCAGAAACGTCTACAGTTTGCAAATACAAGGCTGTGTACTATTATGTATGAACATGAACCAGGTTTACGTATTGTTCCTGGAAACGAAAAGTGCCTTTTTTTTGGTGAGATAAAAGCAGTTTTGTATTTTCATAATCATTGCACCCACTCCATCTCAGTGGCTAGATGTTAGATAGGACTGTGCTGATAGTTTCTGTTTCCTTTCTGGCCTACTTGATCTTTCTGTCTCGTTTTTTCTTAACACTAAATAAATTATCTGTATCATCTCGATGTTCCTCTATTTACCGAAACCACTTTATCTCTGTCTTATTTCAGATCTCTGGATCTTATAGCGTTATCCAGATGCTGCTTTTCAGCTATTTCACCAGCCGCACTGACTCTACTTTCTGTGCACCGACTGTCCATACCGAGCCAACAGCTGTAGTGATTGGGTCAGGCACAGCGGACGAAGAAGGGTCGACCATGTCCTCACCTCAACAACATTCAACTAACCACGGCTCCGAGATGACGAAAGGCGGTTCAAGCACAGTCCTTCAAGACAATACGAATTTACTGCGAACAGTTGATGGTTCAAGCAGAAGTACTAAGATGACGCGTTCTCCAGTTCCTAGATATCATACAGGCCTTACTTATCGCGTTAAAGTTGGCAGCGCAGTAACAAGGGGCGGTTCTCAAGAGGGTAAACAGAGCTATCCGTATTGGTCATGGACTCCTTGTGTTGTGTGTAAAAAAACACGCCCCCCTCGATGCTACCACTGCCCGCTATGCGAGAAATGTGTTCTTAAACGAGACCATCACTGTTTTCTGACCGGTGTGTGTATCGGAGTGAGCAATCAGAAATACTTCCTCGTCTTCCTCTTTTGGTGTGTATTCGCTACTCTAGACGGGCTATTCCACATGTACCCATATGTTTATCATTACGTTCTCCCCTATGTGTCATACATTGACTTCATCCCGCCAATCTGCCTTATCCGTAGTGTGTTTGGCTACTTGGATTTTTACCACGGCTTTTTCTGCATCACGTTCACAAGTTTGAACCTATTTGCTCTAGTGTCTTGTGTCATGGCGAAACAAATCGTAATGGCTACTGTTTTGGGAGTAACATCATTCGAAGATGAGCACAGGATCAAATTGAGGGATTCGAGAAGTCTGTCTTGTCGTCTGCGAGAGGTAAT